CAGCAATACTTCAGAAGCAACGCACCCTTACGGACTTGAACCGCTTTATTGGCTTTGAGTGTTCTGATACATTTACAGACACGCCCATGCGACAAAGTGCTGTCTCGGAGATTGACTTCCACACGATCTACCCGGGTCTTGCGTGGAACCACAATGAAGCTGATTTTTCTTTTTCATGGAAGCCGGAGGATTCAAGCTGCCCTCCCAAGCTAGATCTCTCTGCTTCTGATTGGCAAGTCTTTGTCAATTTTGGAAAGACGCTTAAGTGGTTTCTCGCTGACCATGTGATGTGCACTTATCAGGAATTGGCCTTTCTGTTTGTCATTCGAGGACATCATTTTCGATGCCGTGAAGCACATTTTCAAGAACTTGTCCTTAAGTTGCGTAGATGCTGTGTTGTGCTCTCAAAGACGCACAATGCACTTCCTGGGACACCAACAGCCAGGGCAACGAAATGCATTGGCAAAGTGTTGCCTCAGGGTGCACTTGTTGGTGCTCTCCCTTTTTTCGCCCCTGGCGAGCTTTTCAAATTCTGCCGTGTGTTGGCCGGTGGGGCCGGCCGCTCGGCTGATTCATGGTCGTTCCCTATCGAACGCTTTCTGTAGCTCTCTTTAATTTGGCCCCGTTGTGCATTCACTGATCTGTGAGTCGTGGATGCGACTTTCCTACTCGACCGGATTGTCTGCGTGTGAACAGAGTAGACTACTAGGGAGGTCAACCTACCAGGGTGAGTTTCGGGCTCCGGGTTTTGACCCACAGCCATTTGGATGTCTAGCAGGACCCAAGGTTAAGCTCTCGTGGATCCGCGAAAAAGAAGGGTGGAAACTCTTCTGCAAACCTAACACTTGGTGTTCACAGCAATTCCAAAGGATCGAACGAAAGGTGCGAGAAAACATTACTACTAACTACTTTTGGTGTTCAAGTTTTTTTTTTCAATCATGTTTGGATTGTGTGAAACCCCAAATTCCTGTGGATGATGGGTTTGCGCCCTCCTGAAAACTATGCCTGTCAGAGGAACATCCTGCCAGGCGCTGTACTTGCGTCGGGTGAGTCAGGCTCGCCAGGGCGAGAGGGGAGGGATAGGGCAGATCTGGGCTTGACACGGAGCCAAGGGTGAGACACGGACTTCTGACTCGTACTGGTGAGGATCTATGAGAATTCCAGAAGTCTTTGGGATATCAAGTTGGCAGGGGAGGTCATTTGGCAAGGCAAGTTGGGGAGGTCAGAAATGGAGAGTGATTTTGTAGATTCCTATTGGATTCAACTTGTTCAATTAGAGCTCTCTACGTTGCAAGACACCGCCCCTGCACCTCTGCAAACGGTCGATGGAGCAACCCGAAGACCCAAAGCAGTTGATTTGAGCTAAGTCACGTGATGTCGCTGCACACGCACATTTACGCAGCCTTGTCGGAAAGTACGCTTCCATCAGTCCGTAGGGGAAACATGCAGGACATAAACCTGCACCCACATCGACTTGAAGACATCTTGGGGCAGGACCTGAGCCCACACATTTTTCTGTGAAGCGGTGCGTAAGCCTGTGTAAAGATCGATTGTAAGACGTTTTCGGGACAGGACCTGAACCCACACATGTACTTTAAATGTGGACTTAAATACCGACCGTACGTCTTCTTCGGGCAGGACCTGAGTTACTTTAACCCTTGACAAAAGTCGGCATAAACATCGACTGGAAACCTTCTTCGGGGCGGGACGGCGCATGCAATATCCTTTTCTTCCCATGCCTCGATTGCAGGCGACAGGAGCACCTCGTTCACTGACGAGCCAGATTTCGTTGACATGTTCACTTGTTTCAGCTGTGATGTTTATACATCTTCCAATGTCATGGAAGCGTGAAAACATTGAAGAGCCAACCTTCACCATTTGGTTTGCAACCGACCCAGGATTCCATAGAAAGTCATTGAAATCGAACGATCCTTTTGCAATTTTAACGCGAGGTGTCCCTGACACCACCAGGTGAGCCCTTGCGGGATCGCAACGTCATAAACATAAACATACCGCAAGTTCATAAACATAAACATAACACTTATGTTGAGCGATGGCAGCCATACATGGCCAACCATCAAATATGTTTTTTTTTGTGAAACAAAAGTGAAAAAAAAGGCAAAATAAAAGCAAATGAAAATGCAAAAACAAAGCAAAAAGCAAAAACAAAGCAAAACAAAAAGCGAAAAAAAAGCGGAAACAAAGCGAAAAAAAAGCGAAAAAAATGCGAAAATAAAGCGAAACAACTGTTTAAAAAAAAGCGACAAATATGTGTTTGCTGTACCCTCCTAGGAAAAAAGCGAAAAAAAAAACAAAAAAAATGCGAAAATAAAGCGAAAAAATAGTGGAAAAAAAAGCGACAGATACGCACAGCTACATTGTTTTGCTTTTTTGTTTGCTTTGCCTTTTGCTTTTGTTTTGCTTTGTTTTTGCTTTATAAAACTATTTTGGCTCCTTGTATCTATGGCTGGCGTGCCCGACATAACATAACACTTTAGTTCGTATCGCACACAAGGGGTGTTTTTAAAATTCGGGAGGCCTTCAGCCAAATCCCTGGCAACATGCAACGCAATTACATAACGGGTAAAAGCCATTACTGATTGTTTTTTAGTAACATACACAATGACAAGTGCATTTTGCACCTGACTCGGTAAGCACTCCTGGTGCATCCAACGCAAGCGGCAATAACCCAGGCGATGTGTCGTGCGACGCCGATGGAGTGCGGGGTCCTGTTGGAAGGATCTATACTACCAGGGCCCAGTGCATGATGGTGAGTCAAGGCCTTTCTTGGAAATAATGATACTGTTATAGTTGTTAGTTGTTTTTCAATTATACTGTACATGATGGTTTTTTACCGGGGCAACAGCAAAGGTTTGTTGTAAAAAGTACAGCCGTTTGTGCGCGTACTTCACCATTTTGCTCTACCAAGAGGGGCTCATGGAATGTGAGTGAGAGAGTGCACGCCTTGTTTTACATGAGGAACATGTTTTTCTCCGAAATCGGTGCCATTTTCCCATGCACGTTGGCCCCGCCGATGATTCCAGGGAGCGTAAATTGGTTGTACTATATAGGTAGTATTTGGTCGGGGTGACATGGCCCAATTTTCAGGGTATGAACTGCAGTTGAAGATAGGAAATGAACGCTATGAAGGGATTGGATCGTCGATATCCTCGTTGCAATCCTCATCAGTCCTTATATTTTCTTATCACTGGTAGTAGTATTTAGGCTATTCAAGAGGCATCGACATGGACGAAACACCTGTAGGTTCGTGTGGGCAACGCGTTTACATTGCCTCCCAAATAAAAACCTATGAACCATTTGCCAATCTGACAAACACACACAAACCCACACGCACAGGCACACACTTTGTGTGGGAACCATGCATCAGGCTGTCTCATGTTCCTCCTGTTGTGGGCAACGGCTGTTCCTCCACCGAGCTCGAGGCACGGCACAGCCGCCATTCATCAACACCCGTTGGAGATAAGTGGCAGACAAATGTCACGGGACACAACACCTGGAGCCCCAGAAACCTTGAAATTGGGTGGTGGTAAGTGGTATTAGAGATTGTATGTTCAACCTTTAAATGGCATGATTGATCCCACTGACATCCGCGGACATCCTTCTTGTTCGATCGAGTTGAAACCACCATCCAGTGTGATCACGTGAAGTCCTTGACTATGCCTGAGGCTTTGTGACTTTGTGCGGTGCAAAAATGATGTGATGCACACTAAGGTCTTCAAAAGCAAGCTGGAAGAGGTACATGCTGACGTCGCGCTACAGCGGCGCCGTGGTTCACTCCGGCACAATACCTCCCCAGTGGGTCGAGGATTTGATCGTCAAGAACCTGGGCGGGGTATTGCTAGAACCACCCAGATCAGTCCGATGATATCCAAACATGAGCCCCGCAAAAACCTGAGCTCTCAGCAGGGTTCTGCTGGCCACTGGTGGTGACTGGCGTCAGCCGGAACAGACTGTCACCGACAGGATGGACCGAGCTTGGAAGGTTTTCGGTGTTCACGGCTTCCATGAACCGATGGGCAGGTCGGAGGAAGGTTAGATGAAGGTGTTTCTGTCCCTGAAAAGAGGGTCGGATGCTTCAATGAGGGACTGAAATGATCTGATCTCAGAGTTCAGAGATGTGTTGGACCATATGGCTGTGTGCTTTAATAGGGTGACACCCTGGCCCTGGCTGACTGCATCGATTTTCCAGGGAGGGAGCGTGGACGCCTGGGAAGATCTCCCTATTTGAAGACGCACTCATCTTGATTCTTCGATTGACGAGCTACTGTAAAATCAAGGTGTAAAGAGGTCGGAGAGGAGGAACCGGTGAGTTTGCTGACCTGGTGGTTGGGATGACCTTTGGATACATTTATCTAATAAACATATCAAAAGCAGTGTCCAAGTTATCAAAAGCAGGGATCCAAGTTGGCCAGAAATTTCATCTGCATGGGGCAAATCCACAAATGATTTGTGTAGTTGTTCCGCCCGTCTCATAGATGATATATGATGTGTGTGTGTTTTCACAAAGACCCACTAAGCTGAGTGGTAAAATCCTTCGGATGGGACACCGCCCGGGACTCCCGGACCACGTCCAATGTGGGTCACGGTCTCCGGTGACACGTTGGTCACGGTCTCCGGTTGGATGGCGTGAGGTCATGCCCCAAAGAAAGACAGAGACATCACTGACCCATTCGCAAGTGGAGTTGAACTCATATAAACTTATTATAATTGACTTGTGGAACTGATATGAACGAAAGTTCAGCCACTACTAGCTCCTTACAAAGTTCACTGATATAATCTTATTCCTTGGTGAAGTTTGTCAAGGAAACTGGTGAGCCTGTGACTTGTGAAGGGAAGTGTAGAGGTAGCTCGCCCCAGACGAGCCGTGCCGCTGAAGGGATCAACCAATGGAGTTTCCCCCGCGCGGGGGTAGATGTTGTTGTTCGCAACACTCCAACACCCATCCAACACCCCAAGAATCATATATGACCGGGTTGGCAGGTTCACGCAGGGTCATGAGCCCCCAGGATTCCGAAGGACCTCGGAATTCCACGATCGATCTCATGAGGACCTGGGAGCCTGAAAGTTTTTTGAAAGCCCTTTTGATGCAAACTCCTTGGCTCAAGGTCTTAGCTAGCTAGGTCGTATGGAGGACCTGAGCAGGTCGTCCCGGTAGCTCGACTCTCGGGCGACTTCACCTCTCGTGCCTACACAGCAGTGAGAGACGAGTTCCAGGGAGTTAGGGAGCTGGTCGGGCTGCACTGACCGTGAGGACTGTGTTCCCTTGACAAGTAGGAGTAGATTGTCCATATGGGTGTCCTTGCAAAAGGCCGAACTGTTCGAACCTGAACCTTCTACGAACCATACGAACCCCCTCTCCAAGTGTTCGTTTTGCGTTCGGTTTCTACGTTCCATTACAACTAAGGCAAAGCGGGTTTGTCGGGCGGTTCCGGTGGCATCCTCCGTCCCGTCCGCTGACCAGGACCCCTAAGGCAAAGCTAGTCGCGGGTCCGGTCGTCCAGAGGCCGACAACTGTTCCAGTTGCATGAATTGGTTGCAGGGAGTGACATGTTTAGGGGAGGACATTCCCATCCGTCTTTTTCTCCACCGTTTGATGTGAACAAACTCCCCAAGTTGGCAGACACTCTTCACATCGAGGGGGTTGAAAAAGAGGCGCAAAGGAGTCCACATTAGGTCAGAGAAGATGTTCCTTCATGAAATGGCAAGCTTCGTACATGCACACATCATCCGAGCCTCATCCTTTCTGAGCCTCATCGGTGCGGCCTTGGTTCTCTGGTTGTTGTCCAATCGAAAAGAGGGTCAGGGATTTCCAAGGGCCCTCTTGTTCGGGCCAGGGAGATCACCAAGGGGTGTCAATGTTGGGTGACTTCTTTGGGAATGAGCCAAGCAGGAGCCACGCAGGAGGCCCAACTGGGTAGCACACGAAGCTTCTGACACCAGGTGCAACTGACCACCTCGTGTTTGAAAGTGGTTCGGAGCAGGCGGGATGTTTTTCATGTACCAAAAAGAGCCGCTCGCAATCGGAGATAGATCCAGTCACTTCTCGCGCTGCGCTTCTCCTTTCTGTGAGGTGCTCCCATGGACTTTATGGAGGAGGAGCACCTCTTAGAAGAGGGTCCGCGGCCCAGGGCTCTCGCGTGCCTAGCCGCTTTGCGTGCCGTTTTGCGTCCGCGCAAGACCCCTTTTGGGTTGAGGTTGGAGTGACTTGGTAGAGCAGCGTTCATTGGATCGGGACTTGCTTTGGCTTGTGTCCCTCCAAGTTTCATGGCGGGTCCATTGATTTTCATCATGCCTTTCAATCCATCTTCGGATCATTTGGAGGGGTCCCTGGATTTTTCATGGGCCTTTTCCAAGGCTTTTCATCTACTGCTCCTCGTTCTCCTCTTTCTCTCCCGAGGCCACGAAGAGCGAGCGACCTCCAGTTCGAGGAGCTGGCGAGTTCGCCTCGCAGGAGCAACAATTGCCTACAAACCATGGGAGGTTAACATCCCCAATTCTTTTGAATCAACCAGGTTCATTTTGACCCACAGGAAAATTCTTTTTGAATCTCCTCACGTTTGGTTTGGCACCCTCCAGGAGTGGCCGTGAGCGCGTTGCTGGTGGCCGCGGTGTTCTGGTCTGCTCGGAGGACAGGAAGGCACCGGAGGAAAGGGGTGTATAACACCACCAGCAATGGCAGCAATGGGCCAGGGATATGCACCCCTGCAGAGGACCGACATGGAACCCCCAGAAGCCACTGCATGGGTGGTTGGCTGGAAAATCGAGACCAAGCCGCGGGGTCCGTGGGGTCCAAACCGCAGTGGAACCTATGCGCTGATCGACCGAGCAAAACCTTTTTTCCCTACAAGTCCCACTGGCGCCCTGCGAAAACGCGAAAACCCTAAAACTGACCTGGTCCAAACTGGACCAGCTCCAGTCCAACGGGCTCTTTGACCGCGGACCGCCGGACCATCACCATCACCGGGTGCCTTGGACCCGTTTTTCCTCCGGAGGAGCCCGGAACCAACGGCGGCGAAGGCGGAGCTCGAGCGGAAATCGTCCACGGTGTGCCCGTTTCTCCACAGAACCAACCGCCAGCAAGATGCAATAAGGTGCGTACGCCGACGCCGTCATAGATCTATGATTTGCATGATTTTTGCAGTAGGTTCAGGTCATGGGTCGTGCGTGTTTTTCTTTTTTGCAAAGAATATATAGGCACAGCAAGATCAACAAGATCAACAGGCCGCTAGCCGCTAGGCGCTAGCAAGCACTTCACCAACCAGGGTGATGTCAATGTCTCAATAAAGTTGGATTTTGCAACCTCCCATTTCTTCGCAAGGATTTCAACTTTGGAAGAGATGTGTTCAAATTAACATCGGAATAGGCTCATCAACTTGACACCAGGAAACGGGTTTGCCTCGAAACGGTGTCCACGGAAAAAGACGTCAGGTGCCATCCTTCGCCCATGAAGCGGCCATCGTCTCCCTCACGGAGAGTGGGCTTGGTTCGTATTGTATGGGTGGAGGGCTTGAGGATGTGGTCGTCAAGTTTGTTTAGGCAAAGATGTCGTATATAATTTGGCTTAAAAAGCATTGTTGCTTTACAGGAAGTAAACAGTTCAGAAAGCACCGTTCCAAACAGGATTGTCATGGGATCGTCATCCCTGGGAGATGATCAATGATGATCACTGTGAGTATCATGTGAGCAGTGGCCAACTTTGTAAAGCTTTGCAATCACTATCACTGTGTAGAAATAGGGAACCCTGAAGAGCGATGATAGCTGTTCCAGGAATAGGCCAATGATATTTTGACATATGTTTTGGAAACAAACAACAATGGTTTTAGAGCGATGGCGATACCGGTACCCAAAATTACTCAAACCAATACCAAACCACACCTGCAAAGGTACCTCAGAAGTCCAGTCCTAGCCACCTCCCCATGTGTAGAGCCCCAGCAGCAAAGAGTTTGTCCAAGGCCTTTGCAATTTGTTGAAACATGTTGAAACAATGGCTTACAGTAGCTTCTAAGACGGAACCACAAAGAATCCTCAGGTTTGAGAGAGATTGTTGTCTTTTTTTTGGACTGTGTGGAGTGACAGGACACCTTGAAGAGCGATTCCATGGCAGCAGAAGGGCTAGCATATTTTGGACCGCTGCACATGTGTTGACCTTTTTGTTTGGAATGAACGATATGATCAAGGTCGGTGAAACATGCTGAAACCGGACATGTTGTTTCCTACCAACACCTACCAAATGGTGCCAGTTGCTTCTCCAGTTGCCAGTTTTGGGGTAGAAAATCTCCAGGTTTCGGCCCGCAGCACCCGTGAGTGTAGCTGGCCAAGTTCCTCAGGAGCTCATTCCAGAAGGCTACGAGAGCTGCTTCAAGAACCTGACATACTTTGTTTCTTGGTGACACAAGATGGGTTTGGGCTTGGATGGGGCAGTTCCAGTTCAGGTACAGTACTTAGTACTTGTTTTACTAATTACCTGTCAGTTTGAAGGAGGGTTTGTGTGGTTTGGGCAGTTTTGTTGGTGCTGTTACTACCTGTCAGTTCGGGTCAGTGTTTGGTGTGGTGCACGTGAGGATGGTCATATGTGCTTTCTTAGGCTTCGATGGTCAATTTCAACGATGGAGTCATCTCACCGGAAGCATCCAATCGATGCCATGAGTGCTGGGGTCCGACGAGTGGTTGATGACCTTGGGAAGTCCAAAGATGTCCGTTTCGTTCATCGAAAGATGCGGAACTTGGGTCCACGACCTTGGGACATGAAGGAGGTTCTTCTTATCTTTTGCGAGGTGAAAACGGCCATCACTTGAGGATGACCGCCACACATGGCGGCTCTCCGCCGGACCTTGACATATGGGAAATGATGGAAACTCGAAATGGAACATTTGGATAGAACAAGAACGGCTTGTTTGTAAGAAGAGGATGGAGCAAGATGAAGATAGTTGAGTGTTGGGCGCTCAGGAGGTACATATGCCAACAATTGAAACAGTACTATGTAAGGCGAAAGAAGGTTGGGGAAAAGGATCCAGAACACAACTTACAAGGTGGCAGAAATAGACAAATAATATGATACCGCTCTCAATTCTGCCGTCTTGAAAAACACTTTCCAGGTCCCGGTATGTCCAGTCTTGTGAAGGGATATTCCCGTGGAAAGGTTTGGGATTCACTTTTTGGGAACAGTTCCCATCTGTTCAATGCATCAAAGGGATGAGACCCATCTAAGGGAACAGTTCCCATCTCTGGTTTTTGATGCATCAAAGGGGATGAGCAAGTTCCCATCCTTTGGGGCTCCAAACTAACCCAAACTCGAACGTTTTGGTCTCGATGTTTCCCAGGGGATGTTTGAGGAACCAGCCGGGTATCAGGGCGGTTGGTAGGTCTAACGGTTTTAGTTCGGTACTGTAGCCCAGACATGCCCAGCCAATTCATGAAGCCACTCCAATGAGACCGTTCTGTTGGGGGCCTGCAGTGGGTTTGGAGACGTTTCACGGTTTTCGCCTCCACAGCTGCGCCGCGCGAGCTGTAGCGGCCGAGGTGGAAGTGGATGGCATGTTCTCCCTTCCCCACGCGCGAGAAGCCAGATACAGTAGTGAGGGATCCCAGATTCCAGATCAGCCGCGAAGCCAAATCATTCGGAGACCTCGGTTCCAGGTGCAAGGACAATAGTGCTCTTTGAGAGTAGAGAGGTCCGTGGGGGCAAACGGACTCAACTGCCAATCATGCCTCCCAATCGCTCCGAAATCAGACCGGACCCCGGGTCGGGACCGGTGAAGTTCCATCCGTCGGCCGTTGTTCTTCGGCGTGGTGTTCCGGAGTTCCGAAGGGACAGTGAACTGTCAGGTTCCGTTGTCCCCAGTTGCGGCCCCTCCGGTGCTGGAGTCAATTTGATGCCTATAGTCTTAGTCACTGAGTCAAAAGTTTAGTCAAGTAAGGACATCGTGTCGAAAGACAGCCATGGAAAAGGATGTGATGTGTTGTTTTCTTTAATATTTTCTGCAAAACAACATTCAGGAAGCAACACCGACAACACCTCAATTGCAAGTGGATGTGTGATTTGTTTGATGTTCAGGAGGTTCTCGGAAAGCACCTAGCGTTGGGTCGGTTTGGCAGATTCGTTTGGGATTAGCTTAAGATGTGGAGGACCTAAAACGAAGCACAGTCGCTTGCGTTTGGGTCCACCAGCCCCCATGACAACTCGGCATCTCAAGGCACCCTCAAACTCGAAGAGACATGTCAACTCGAACGGAGTGGTGCGAAAGTTGTCCATGTCGACAGTGGGAAAGGCATGAAACGACATTGATTGGCAGCATGCAGCCTAACTTGAGGGGTGAGAACAGTGGGCGTTTGCAGGGATGGACTGCGGTCTCTTCGAACGATGGTCCGGTCCGGAACTCCCAAGGTGCCTTAGAATGTCAGCAAGCCTGTGCCCAGACCTATCGCTGCGAGTGCCCAGACTGATTCTGATGTCATTGTCGAGTCTTCGGCGAAGAACAGATGGGAGTATACCAGGATCCGTGGCCCGTGAAGATGACCTCTTCAGGATTGGTATACTGTACGTGTCCTTTTCAAGACCTGTTAGTGACCTCAGCCACTGCTATCTCAAAAAAAGGTCCCTGCCAAAAATCCTGGTACTAAGTACAGTACTACACTACCATATATAACATATACTCTATAAATCTCTATAATACTCTATATATAGTAATTACATATAAATTGACTAAATTCACCAAGCCAAACCGGTGACATTGACCCAAATGAGTATAGTACTTACTGTACAAGACTTTACCAAGTAATTGTGACCCCTGAAACCATCCCAATCTCCCAATGCATGGTAAAGATGCCAGTCCCAGGATAGATTCTCGATCCATTCAGTGGATCCAATGGACATGAACCTCTCTTTCTACTGGCACAAGTTTTAGAGAGAATCGGCAAAGAAAAACCTGACTCAGATACCCCTGCCCAAAAGAAACCGTGTCTCTCAGCCGAAACCTGGAACCTATTGGAATCACGTCAAAGAGCAGAGGAGTCTGGTGACGTAATGTTGGCAAAAGACCTCTCCAGGTAAATTCAATCGGCCGTTGGAAAAGAGAAAGCTACCCACCAACTACAGCAACTAGAAGAAATGCAAGGAAATACATATAAATTGACATAAAAGGACCGAATTAAAAAGAATGAGGGCACGACCGACTTTGAAATTCACTAAGTTTAAAGACAATCAGGGAAGACAAATTGACAGCACGCAATACCCTCAGAAGGCCGCTGAATATCTAGAAAATGAACAATGGAAGATCGACAAAGTAAACCTTCCCCCCCTCAAAAGTAAACCCCTCGTGTCTCACGCAGGCAAGGACGGTTCCCCATCAACGATGGCCACTTCACGCTGCGAAAACTGGACAAAGTAATTGAAAAGCAAAGTAATAGCAAAAGATCTACTATATCTGGACTCCAGAAACATATCTCCTTCACGGTATCAACGAAATGTTAGAAAAGGGTACACCCGAACCATCACTACATGAAGCAAGAATAGTATCAATATACTGTATCATAGTCGAAGTTTTGCACACAAGTATAGCCCCTAACTTGTCATGCTATGTGGACAACATGTACAGCACAAGACCGCATGTCACCTTGACATATTTTGGCTCAAGAAAGTTCATACCTGACATTTGAGAAGGGGAGACCATGGCGCAAGATGGATGGACTTTCTTGGGAAAAGACGTCGAGGAGAACGTTCAGAAAGACGAGACTTTAGAAGGTGGAAAGAAAGAAACGGGAGACCACCACCTGCGACCTCTCCACCTCCAGCTACTACACCGGCACCACCCCCCACTGAATCAGCCGATCAATCCTTTTGGTCGGAGGTCTACACTTTCGATCCGCCCCACGCACTGATGGGCGTGCTAACCGATCTCCATATCCACCGTTATCTCCTGCACCACAGTGAGCACAGTGGGGAAAGGCATGACTCGCCATGCCTTGATGGTGGCTTTGCTGACGCTTCTCCAGTCGGCAGAGAGCTTTGAGATCGAGCCCAATGCAGACAAGAGTGACTGGGTCTTCTTTGACCTGGGCCTGGGGATCTGCGTAGTGCTGATACTCCAGAGCTTGATGCTTTGGATTTTCTTCAAGTGTGTCACAAGGCACTTCCAAGTTCATGGGGGCTTGAAAAGTTCTCTTTGTTTGAGGAGAGAACCTTGACAGATGAATATCTAACTAGGGGAAAATTCAAACTTTTGAGAAAGCAATGCCCGAATTGCGATCGATGCAGTTGGGGGAAGCTGGTGAAGGAAGAACAATTGAGTTAGAACACTGCTGTTTAAAGTGCAGAGCTGGAGAAGGCCACGATACGAGGTGCTTGCAGGACCAGCAGTTCCATGTCTCTCATGGTCGAGGGAGCTTTACCAACTGGAATGGCTGATTCATGCATTTATGGTCTGAGGATATTATATCATCAAAACGGGCGCTCTGCTTGTTTTCAGCATCCGTCACGTCGCTCGCGTTCGCTCGCCCGTGCCGGTGCACTTGCTTTCGCGCATTCGTTGCCTTCGGGTTGTGTTTGGTTTCGGGTCGGTTGCCGTAGGTGCTCCCTCCCCTAACTCACATCCCACTCCAACACAACGGGGACCAAGCCCTCAGGGGTCCCTCGTCGTGTTCCAACCCGTTCTAGGGTCATCCACACAATTGGGTACCTTTCCTCACACCTCCCCCTAGGAAGGTTGTGGTGGTTGTTCCCTGTGGATATCCCGGAACCCTTGTCACTTTCATTATTATATATATCCTGTATATAAGGGCCTCGAGCAAACTTGAAACTACATCCACAAACTGTTTATAAGATCATTGCGGCCCTCATCAAGCACCGCCTCTCCGAAGGGCTAGACAAATGGATCATGGACACACATTATGGCTTCAGGGCAGGCAGATTCACAAGTCACGCAATCTTCGTCGCAAGGAGGTTGCAAAGTATGGCCGAAATTAGTGGGAAGAATCTAGAAATTATTCTATTGGAATTGGGAGAAAGCTTTTGAACAAGTACACCAAGCACGGCTACTTGAACCCTCGGTAGGGTAGAAGTTCCCTCCAAATTATTGTCATTAATTGGCAACAGTTATGAAAGTCCCCAATTCCAAGTTTCCTGCAATGAAGGAAAATCAAGCTGGCTTGCACAAAACTCAGGCATAAGACAAGGATGCCCGTGATCCCCTATTTCTTCACCATGCTCATGTCCACGATGTTCTCAGACATAAACACAAGGCTGTCCACGCCCAAACAGAAAGAACCCTTTGAAGGAATAACTGTTGCAGCAATACTCTATGCCGACGACACTCTAACTTTTGGCGACCACACGCCTTCAATAAATAGATTGCTCAAAGAAATAGAAAGGGTATCCTCCTACTACAACATGAAACTCAACTACGGAAAATGTGTTAACATGAGATCCCTGTACAAGAAATTACAAGCTTGCAGTGAAGTCACTCTGATTGGAGGGAAGATGAACCTCATGGATGGACATTCAGTTTGCGATGAAGCATCCAGAACCGGAGCTGGACTGTTGACACCAGCGTAACCAGCGCTACCAGCGAACCAGCCTAACCAGCGCAGCCAGCGTAAACAGCATAATTATAGCCTGCCCAGCGTAGTCAGCGTAAGCAGTGTAGTCATAGAATGTACGAGTCGTCCTCACTTCCCGCTCAAAACACAACCGCTCCTGCGCGGCTTACACCAACCACCGTTGATGCCACACCACGTTTTACACGAACCGCCGTTGACACCAAACCACGACTTACACCAACCACCGTGTGCAAGCACCACGTTTTACACCAACCACTCACCGATTACACCAAACTACAGTTTACACTAGCCGCCGTTTACACCAAAACACGTTTATGCCGACCACCGTTCACGCCCAACGACGGCTTACACCCACCACTGTTTACACCACACCAAGGTTTTTACAACCGCTTGTTACACAAAACCACGGCTTACACCAACCACCGTTTATACCAAACCACCGTTTACACCAAACCGCTTTGAATTGAAGTGGATCCATATCATCGGATCAATTTCTTTTGGGAAGGAAGTGTGCGTGCCTTGTGGTTCCCCCCCGTACTCCTTCCAATTTCCCTACCTTTCGTGTCTCCCTCTTCTCAGTGGAGATTGAGCCAGCGGTAAGAGGGCGTATTGGGGGTCACCAATCTGGATTTTGCCTCCTATAGCCTATAGCTCTTTTTGAGTAACCCTTTCCTCTTTGGACATCCCCGTGCGGGTCAACGGTCGAGGCATTTCTCCTTTTGGTCGTCCGGCGGCTGCTTGCTCACCAGCTATTCTTCCTATTCCAGGACCGAGCGGAGCACCCCGCTGGGGCGGCGGGTCCTGTGCTGCTGTTTGTGTCGAGCCGTTTGGAAATGCCACAGTGCGACGTTTTTTTGGGCAGGACATGGTTGGACCGAGCAACCGGAAACGGACAGGCGACATCTACAAATCCGCAATAGTTCCACGTTACAATTGCATCACATGCCTCAGAGGGGGGTCTGAAACTGCTGGTCATACCCTAGAATTTGGCGCGTGGAGTGCAAAACAAGAGATATATACTATATATACATATTAGTATACTGGTCATCGTCGATCACACGAGCAAAACAAATTGAATAGGTCCACATCCTTCGGTTTTCATGCGTCATGCGGCCATGGGCCATGCGTCCCTCATTTGTGCACATGTTTGTGTTCCTTTTCGACGTCCAAAACCCCCGCGGCTAGGAAGTATGACGGACCTGCAAGCGGTTCCTGTGTCTCTGGGCCGCGGATGTGCAAGGCAGGGTGTCGAGTCCGGTCCTCGAAGCGCGGTGCTTCGCCGCGGTGTTGAATTATGAATTGTCCAACAGTCAGGGAAATATGTGCATTGTATGCACCATACCTTTTTCTTTGATGCTGCCATTCGATTCATTGATTATCCGGTCAGCCTGTCGGAAAAGGCCTATCGGGATCTTGTGTATCGTCCATGTATCTGTCGGGTGGCAAGTGTATTCCCGTGCACTTGCGAATGGCAAGTGGGTTCGTGATGCAGTGATGTTCCATGCTCCAGAAGTGAATCCTCCACGCAAGCGGCGGGATTTGGTTCAACTATTTAGTATTTAGCCGCCATAAAAAAAAGCTCTAAGAAACCTAAGATAAGATATGACAAATTCTACTCACCAGGTTTGAACCGAAAAGCACTGCCATTCCAAATGGTGTGGAGTTCCAGCCTTCTTTGTGCACCGTCATCGCGCGTAATCACGAACGAAAAATGATTTGGAAGTGAATTAAGTCCATCCGCTATGTTGACTCCTTAAAGAAGATGTACTACGAAGCACACAAAGTTATCCTATGTTCCAGTTTCTTCAAAGTGACCTTTTTGAGGTTCCCAAGTGACCCTGTGCCGGCCCAAGTGACCTCAAACCAGGAGATCAAGTTTGGTCACTTTGAAGAACAAGGTTTTCCATGTATTTCATTATTTTGGATTGAGCCAACCTCGAAAACTTTGCATCCATGTGTGATTCTTGAAGTGTACAGTTATATACTGATCTATAGTTCAGCTTCAACCTCCACGCTGCAGCGGGCCTTTGAATGTGTTGCATTCAATATTTGCAATGATTACAAGTAACAATTGCATCAGAACTTTGCATTCATATGCCATATGCTGCTCCAAACCCTGACAAACAAGAGAGGGCCCCTCACACCCATACAAAACACATTCTAACAAGGTTCCAATCTTTTTTGACATAGTTTAATTTGACGATGTATATACATTAATAAATAATAGCTATTGACCGTACCCTATAATGCTCCCCAGGCATATTTTGCATGTTATCCCGAAGCCTGTTGGAATTCAGGATGGATAGCTTTGCCTCACTTGGAGTCCAAACCTGCCAGTGCACTGACGATCCATGCCACTCTTCTGCCTTTTTCCTGCTATTGATCATATTGATCTACAAAAAAATGTATATTAAGAGGTCACATGACATGAGCTTTTTGAGAGGCACCACAATGTTTGTCAGGCGCCAGGCGCTGGCTTTACCAAGAAGCTTCCGCCGGCGCCGCGCTTAGGGTCACCAAGCAGGGCAGGGGTGTCGCCCCACATGATTTGCGCATGAACCTGACCATGACTAGATTCACCCCAACAAACTTCCAAAAAGTAATGGTCCCCATGGTCCCCATGCTGCCACATTTGCAGTGTTTGTCCCTTTGTTCTTTCCGTCGTTTCTTTCCTAGCCAACAGAGCACGATATGTTTGTCTACCAAAGCACGGATATATTACGGATATGTTTGTCTCGAGATACATTGATGGGAAGGTTTTGGGACACTCACTCTGAACATTGGACGGTCCAATGCTGTTTCTTTGAGGCACTACATAATGTAGACTTTTGATCAATAAAACCCATGAGGTTGTTCAATCCAATTGGGGTGTGTTTTATTCTAAGTTATAAACCTTCCCCGCAAAAGGGTTTACGAATTCACTACACGTCCAGCCTCAAGGTTCCAGCCTCATTCTCGCAGATGGACGACACCTGACCCAAAATTCGGCCGTGTTGAATGAAGCATGTCGCAACATTTGCCACCTCATCCAAAAAGTATCTACACTCCCGAGACCTCCCTGAAATAATCATGGAAGTGAAGTGAACACCACCTATTTGGTCTTCGGCTCTCATAGTCATCCCAGTCTTCGTGGGCCGCACGTTCTCCACGTCACCACCTTTGATTCCCCCCAAAACAGTGTATGTCTCGATCTGTCTCGATCCAGATGTTCGATTCACTCGTGGCTTTTCACTCTTCCTCCCGAAACACAAGCGACCCACCAGGAGGCGGCGGTTTCCTCCTCGCGTTCGCCGTCCGATGCCGTGATCGATCGACCTCGTCCCCGCTCCGAGGGCGCCAACGTGCCACCCTTCGTGGCCAAAGAGGCGCTGCGAAACTCGTCCATCGACTCGGTTCGGCTGCGGGACGGAGGGATGGGATGGAGGGATGGCGGTTTTGGGAGCGGTTTGGAGCGGTGGGAGGCCACATGGAGGCTCGCTCCAGTTGAAGAGGGCGGCCATGGACGGAACAAGTGGAACAAGTGGAGGTCATTGTGACTGCGTCATGGAGAAATGAGTCGGAGTGAAGAGCCGTCATTTACATTGTTCCTCACAAACCTGTCCGTATACCTGGCCTTACCGTGCACTCCGTTCTTTCGAGTGCAGTAAGAGGCATCCCGGTGTGGCCGGGGGAGAGTTAGCAAGGTGCTTTACAAGGTACCAGTCTTTGTACTTTGTTTGGGTTCCCTCGGCAGAACACTGTCACGAACTAAATGGTATAGATCAAGTCTGACAAAGTTCTCAACACCGTTATCATTGTGGATTTCCCTGAGTTCGGGGGGACACAACCAGGAATTGCATGAATTGGCTTTGTTTCTAGCTCACGCAGTGAGCCAGCCGTGTGGCCAGGCACCGGGTTGTGGAAGCCTTCACGACGAATACGAGACCTGGCTGAAACCGGAACCGGCTAAGACCGGTGCCCGGTCTCTCGGCATCGTCCGCTTCGTTTGGTGTCTATAGAGGTGGAGACCACCTGCCCGTTGACGGTCTTCCCCAAACCTGAATGGCAATCGCAGATGAAGAACACCCCGCAGAAGGCGATCGCAAAGTCTGGGAATGAATTATCACTGTCATGAATTATCACATGGGTGATATGTTTTGTGTAAAAGGGGGTGAACAAAGGAAAACAAATCAGGAAACAGATAGAACAAATGTGACCAAATATGACCAATGTTTTTGCTTTTTTAAGCAGGCAGATTCGGCGGATCGTTAATTTAAAGCATGCTAATGCTAATCAGATGGTTTCGTGAAAGGCCTTGGCTATGGCGGAAGGTTTTTTGTTTGTTCTACTTGTGGCTCACAGAGCTCTGAAGCAACACAGCGATGTATCTCTTAAGTCATGCCTGGGACGCTCTCATGGCCCTCGCAGACTCGCTGCTGGTTCGGCTGCGCTGGTGCTGCGCAGAGCGAACCGGAGCTGACCCTTTCGTTGGGCAACAGGGCAACAGGGCAACATCGGACCGAACGGACCTTGTTAGGAAGGAGAATCAGCCGCGATGGTTCCTTTGGGTGGAGAATCCGCCGGTTTTTCAGGCTCCGGGCGTTCGGTTTCGCCACATGGGTTCGAAGTTGGAAGGTACCTCGAACGGATTCAAGCACTCTGGGTGGGCTGGCTCCAAGGGGGGGGTGGCGTGGGTCAGTAAGGAAAGACCGTCAAATCGCTTCAGTCGACGCACTGGCCGCGATTTTGAGGTCAGGTCCAGGTCCTTCAATTTTTCAAGCGCACTGAGGAAATGGTGTGGAAAGCTGAGGCTGAGACCTTCTTCGATGCTGAGAGCTCAGATTCAGTCGATGCGCTTGGGAACGCCGATGGGGGACGGAAGAGAGGCACTGATAGGCTGAATGTTAGGCCGACGTGTTCATGCTGCGTGGGCACTCGTTTGCTCAGAATGGGCGGGCGGCACAAATTGTCATGTTGGCAGTGACATGATTCTTGGAACTGTGCAGACTTCTTTGGATTCACACTATATAACCAGGGCCCCCCAGTTTGGGGTGTCTAAGTGTAGCTCCTTAGAGGTGTCAGGGGTATCCATGAACCACATTGAACATCACTGAACCACCCCTTCGGGGGGCCCCTGGTATAGAGACGTGAGACCTGAGGATTGGCAGTTCATCGAGAAGAGCATGACTCGAGGCGCACAGCGGCGCCCTGGGAGCCTTCAAGGGCCCAAAGAGGGGAAACCTTTCACTGACCGGCCAAAAAGCTGTCTGCATCTTAATCACGAAAGGTAGCTTGAGCTACCTCAGTTCTCCTTGCTTTAGCAAAAATGTATTACAATCAGGAGTTGGGATTGTGCATTGAGTTTGGTCCTGTAAGAGTTGATTCTGTTTGTCGGGGGGGGGGGGGCCCCCCTGGATCAAAAGCGCCCTGCGCCGGTTCACGCCGTCATGGACTTCTACCAGGGTTACTTGTGATTGCCTGCTACCTTTCGTTCACCCCCTCCTCTCTCAAGTGCATCACATGGTTTGGTCAAACATGCCTCGACCTCCAGAAACTCGGAGGTGGTTTTGGTGTTTCCATCAAAGTTAAGCAGTTAAGCATGTGATTTCTCGGAGCGTCGCGACTCGGATCTTTTCCGGCGAACAACGGTGAAGGGAGAAGAGACCCGCCCGCGCGCGCGTTCCGGGTGTGTTCAATGGCCCCGCATGGCTTTCACCGCTTTGTGCACGCTAGAAGATCTTCATGGTCAGGAATTGTCTAGATGAGCTTCTCTTAGTTAGAGAAGTGTACAGGGCCACAACAACAGTTGTTTACATTGGGGTTATGTGTTTTGTATTGTTTTATTGTTTTTAATATAATGCTAGGTCTACTCGAGGTCTGCAGGTCTCTACTCTAGGTTTGGTTCCCAATTTTCAAATAATTCACTGCATCACCCTCAAGATGGCAAACCTGTGGAGCATGGGGGGGCATTCGCGAGGCGACCATTGACCTATATATGCTCAGGGTGATGTTTCTGCGAAACACGATATAGTCCCCACTGAATGAATGTTCATCTAACCCGTTTAACCATAACCTTGATGATGCAGCTATGCGGATGCTGGCGGTATGCGGGTACAATTTGACCTCACACAAACAGTATGTGGTTCAAAGGATTTCTTGTGTTTGAGGAAGCCCTTCAACCTGTCTAAGACCTCTTCGACGCCGATGAGTCTGCGCAACGCCGATAGGGAGGACATCCCAACCGAAACTCGGTGCATCGTTGTGTCCGACATGCCCGGGTCCTTAAAGCCGCACCGGCCACCGAGTACCTTTAGGCTACTTCTGGTGATACAAGGTGCAGATCATTCAACCATTTCATGCATCCCGAGTGAAGTGACTTGAGGCACTGCTCAGATATACTGACAAACGTTTCATTACATTTGTCCAATAATTGGGACTCGTGGACTGTCACCCCTGAAAGAGCTTCAGGTCCTTGCTCTCTGGGGTTTCTTCGTGGTCCGTTTTTTCGGAGCCTGAACCATCCGGTGGGGCACCGTCACCGCACCGCGCCAGGTGCTGAATGGTACCTGAACCGATCGGCAGGGCTTCCTAGTCGGTAGGGGTCCGGGTGCTGAAGATGGGAAGATTGGCGGAAGATGAGAGACACAAGGAGTAATTGAACCCACAAAGAGATGGGCATGACCTGTGGGTTCTGTTTTCAGTGTTGACACTGGTGCAGTCACCTCTTTTTCTTCTACTGTGAAAACAGAGCGGCACCCCTTTTGCGGGGCTGAGCGACTCTGGGAATTTCATGATGGGGCTGAAGATGCATACAACGGAGGCATGTACTTCCAGAGTATGTGATACACCCATACACTCCATGGGACTGCCATATATGCCGATCAGTTGGGGTGGTTTGGGGGGGTCAATGTAGGCATATATTCCATACATGAAGTATGTGATACAGGTATATTTGCTCTATGTACAGAGGTTGCCACTCCCAGGCGGTCAGACACTGAGGGTAGACTCCAGGCGACTCAAGCGGCGAACTCCGATCGGCCGATCGGTAGATGGTACCATTTACCAATGTTGTTAGAGGGTCTTTGAACAAATTTTTGTGAGTAGCTGACCATTGAAAATGTAACAGTCAACCATAGACCAGCACCCTCCAACAGCGACTTTTAGGTCAGCAAAAGCCTCCAGAGGAGACCTGTAGAGTCGGGTGCTGGTAGTTATACTTCTGCCGGTCCCCAGCCCTTTGTACATGACATCTCTATGTGGAAGATCTTGCTTCGATCAGAACACCCCAAAAATAACGAGGGTGGGTGTGCTTGGGAGAGCACACACTAGCTCAAAACCCTTAGAAAACACTGTAAATACCGTGCAAAATTTCAAAAACTAGGCGAAACGCAATTTGTTTGATCTGTTTGTGCCCAGTCTCCATGTCCAATGTCAATGACAACACATAACTAATAACAGCTCTTCGTTTGCCCACTATCAATGTGCAACACCAATGATAAATATTATCAGGTAAATCTCTCTCTGCCCACAATGAATGTAGCATCATGAGCGAATGAAGATATACTGTAATACCATACATCTCTAGATTCAATAGCTTTCCTCTGGATCTCTGGGAAAGTAGATTTCCTAGATTTTTGTATTTTGATTGAAGGAAAAGAAACACTGACATACATACTTATAGCTTTTTTAAACACCATGACTATTTCCAGAGATCCAGAGGAAAGCTTTTGAAATGAAAGCTTTATATTTTTTCACAGAAGTGATCAGATCTAGAGGGAACCTTTTGAATTAGAAGCTTGTACATAAAGCAGTTTTAATATAGAAATGATTATTCCAAGGGATTACTTTAAACAAAAACTATCTACTCAAAAACATAGTTTTTGTCTTATTCCCAGCACTCCTCGTGCAAAAAACACTGGTAAAATATAGGGTTTTGTAACATGTGTTTTCTTAAACTAACTAAACTAGAATTAAAATAGAATTAGGTAAACTTAGATTAGGAGATTTCAACCATCCTTTTTAACATTGATTGTGGAAATTGCTATTTATTAGATATTAGATTGCACTAAAAATCCTTTCCAAGTTCTCTTTAAAACTCATTGTGGAAACTAGTTCTTACAATTAGATTTTAGTACTGATTTTAGTTGAAGTCCGTTTCAAAGTTAGTGGTGGCTTTGATTAAATATCACATTGTGTTTAAAATCGATTTAGGATTCTATAATTGTGTAAATTGTGATGCTTAACTAACTTGAATTGATTTTGTATCTGTTTGCTCCCCACTACAAGGCAACATCAAATAAAAGGACTTTAACTAACATCGAATTATAATAATTGATTTCTACCATTAACTGTTAACAGAAATTAATTTAATCAATTCTAAAAGGGTCTTGATTGATAACCAATACACAAGCAATTCGATCAAATTATATTGAAAAGAAATAACGTTAGAATCTAAACAACAAGCAATTTCCACAATGATTTTGAAAAGGACTTTAATTGACATTTAAGTAATGACTAGTTTCTATACAATGAAATATAATAGGTTTTTAATTGAAATCTAATTCAAAATCAATTGCCACAATGATCTTGAAAAGGAATTTAATCGAAGTTGAACTACACATTCATTTTTCTATAATTAATCTTGAAGAAATGTTAATTGAAATCTAATATAAAAATCAATTTCCCCAATGATTGTGAAAATGATATGCCTGAAACTTATAGTCTATTAAAAAAAATCCACAATTAATCTTAAGCATATTTTTAATAGAAAGCTAATGAGAAATCAACTTCCACCAATAATTCTGAAAGTGTTTTATTTGAAGTCTAATACCAAAGTCAAATGAAATCCAATGTAAAATCAAATTCCACCGTTAAACTTAAATGAAGCAAAAACACTGTGTTTTACAGTGATTTCTTGCAAAAACCTCTCCAAAATTGATGTTTTGAGCTATTTTTTGATCAATTTTGTCAGATCCAAGCCCCTATTTTCTCGCAAACATTGTTTTTTTTTGGTTTGTTTGGTTTGTTTGTTTGTTTTTGGTTTTTGTTTTTTTGGTTTATTGTTTTTTTTGTTTTTTTGGTTTATTGGTTTTGTGGTTTATTGTTTTTTGTTTTTTTAAGTATTCTCTCTAAACTGGGATAGGCTTGGATCTCACAAAATTGATCAAAAAATAGCTCCAAACCTCAATTTTGGAGAGGTGTTTGCAAGAAATCACTGTAAAACACAGTGTTTTTGCATCATTTTTTGCATGAAACACATCTCCTAGGAGCACCCGTTCTGAAAAAAAACATCTTTGAATATGTTTTTGGAGTCAACAGCTGAATCATTCATCTGAACGACTACCTGGTTTCCTGGGCAAAAGCACCCTTCAGACCTTGATTCCCTTTGGTTTCTCCGTGCGCGCAACAACATGAAACCAAAAACAGAGAACACAATGAAATGTGATTGAGCCGTGTGACCTCACTACAGTAGCAGCAGTAGCAGCCGAAAATGGCGCAGTGGCACAAGCAGATGCTGAAAGCAAAGGCCAGAAAGAAATCAAAGGCCAGCGCAGGTGCTGAAGAGATGCTGAAGAAGAAGAAGAAGCCAAGTGCTGCAGAAATGAGCAAGAGGAGAGAGAAGGCCAGAACCATGACCCAGACACTCATCAAAAAGGCTGACACCTTCGAGCCAGAGGAAATGGCTGACATCCTTCTATTACTGAAATCTGGCGATGTGGACATTGCTCGCCACGCCTGGCACTCCTACATGTGGTCAGCAAGACTCACAGAAGTCCTTGAGGTAAACCCAACAGACTTCTCAGACGAGTCCGGAGTACATGGCGTTCACCAGGTATCAGACTAAGCAGATGCGGAAAGATGTCGACAAGCCAGTAGAAGCGTTTCAGCAGGTGCAAGCGCACGTTACACTTTGCAGTGAATATGAACGACACAAGCTAAAGGAAATGCGGGACAAGAAGCAGCACTACGGGTTGCTGGAGACAGAGAGCCCGTGGCTGAAAAGGTGGACGCTGACAAAATGCGCCGTACGGCGCATGAAGGAGGTGCTGGGGAGAACTGCGGGCAGTGGGACGGAAGTAGGGACGGAAGTGCGGAAGTGGGACGGAAGTGGGGCGGAAGTGGGGCGGAATTGGGGCGGAAATGGGGCGGAACTGGGGCCGAACCGGGGACTGGGGCGGAAGTGGGGCGGAAGTGGGACGGGAGTCGGCCGGAAGTGGGGCGGAAGTGGGGCGGAAATGGGGCGGAAGTGGGGCGGAAGTGGGTGGGAAGTGGGGGGGAAGTGGGGCGGAAGTGGGACGGAAGTGGGGCGGAGGTGGGGCGGAAGTGGGGCGGAACTGGGGCGGAACCAGGGCCGAACCGGGGACTGGGGCGGAAGTGGGACGGGAGTTGCACTTTCACCTGACTTCCGTGGCGTTGCCATCCATTGCAACACC